CAAATCGATATGCACAGGACGAGACCCTTTAAGCCATCAGCGGAGAGCCCCTCGCAGCAGGGCCATGTCGCCATCGCGCTAAACTTGAAACGCTCCACAAAACGCAGCTCAGACCAGAGTCCTTTTTCAGTTTGCCAGAGGCGTTGGCACAGGGGATCGATCAAGGACCTTTTAAATGGGCGATAATAATGCCCTTGCTCGAAGCGAATTCGATTGAAGTATTTTTCAGTGCTCAATCTGCAATTCATTATATCGTATATCTTTCGTGCTATGTATATTTATATTTTTGTTAAAGTGGTCTTATGTACATATATCACTGCAATATTTTTGAAAGATTTTGAATGAGTCCAATCCTTGGAAAGTGTTTTCTAAACATCCTTGTCGAAAGCTTGCAAGATTTATTTGAAGGCTTTTAAATTTAGAAATATTTTAGCAGTTATGATAGATTTAATTTGCATACACATAGTTAATCTAAGATCATTCAGTTAATATTGCACTTATAAGAAAAGAATTAAAATTTTAATTGGATGCCTTGCGGCTTTTCCGTCTCTATTTTTAACGCATACAATATTTGAATTTCTAAGTATTTTTTAGAAGGGAAATCACGGTCAATTTGCCTTATTGAAAAACGTTACTGATTTAACACATTTTACCGCCGACACCTCTGAATCCTGGAAATGCTTTCAGACTCTTCAATATGCACCGGTGTATTTTCAACAAAGTGGATTAGAATGGTCCTTATGACCAGGCATGTCCAAGACAGAGGTCCTTCGGGGGGAGGACTTTCAGAGGATTCCCGGAGCGAGAGACAGCAGTTAGATGAATGACCATCGATGACTAGATGGAGCATGGAGAATGGTGCATGGAGCATGGAGCCACAGTAAACTGCGGTTAAGGTGCAAAGAGTCCAGATAGAAAGAGACAGGCATCCTTTCGGTCGAAAGGGATGGGGCATGGGTATTAGCCCAATGCATTTCATATTTTTCTGTTGCGATGGTAAAAGCACCGCAAAAGCTCAATGGCCAAACGATGGCCCAAAGCAAAATCACATCCAAAGCCCCCAACCAAATGAACCATCACCTTTTTGGGGTTTGCCAGGATTTTTATGCCGTTCGGTCTGGGAAAGCCTTTTACCCACTTGTACAACTATTTTTCGATATGGTTTTTAATACCTTTCGAAATGGCATTAAGGTCGTTCGGGTATATTTGCTAATTCAAAGGGCTGCTAAGGGAAATTTCAAGAACCAATATATATTAATTAGTGTACCTACAAATTAGTGACCTACACAATTGTGTTTTTACTTAATCCAAATTTAATTAATGCCACTAAATGAAAAATAAACATTTCATTCAAGTTTTGACACAAGTTAGTGCATTCAAACTTTAATGGCCATTTAGCTCTCCTGTTGGGAACATTTTCTGTTCCGTTGGTATTTATTTTATATTTGATTTTCGACTCGTGTGTGTCTTTCGTTACTTTTTTTTTGATATCCTACCATTTTGGTTTGTTGACGATTTTTGTTCTATTTGTTTGTATGGTTGGCTACAGATTTGGGAGGCAGAACAGCAGCCACTGACAAATTCTAATTGAACCCCGGTGCAATTGGCAGGGAAAAGTGGGGAGTGTATGGGGCACATATTGGGGGAGTTTTGGGATCTCGTTTGAAAGGCGCTTAGCAAGCCGAGACAAGGCAGAACAAAAATGTTTAGTTACAGTCGAATGACGGTCGCCTTTTTGCCCTCCCTGGAGTTTTGGCAACTGTCAAAATACAAATGCATGCCAGGGGCGTGCCAGGGGGGGATTTCCCCCACGGCCTGGAGGGGGGACTTTTAAAGTGGGGGTGGGGGGGCTGAGAGGGCAAACAAACAAACACCGCAGACGTGAGACGAACCGGTGATGCCGACACACTCGTACACACGCGGGTTAAGCCGCTGGTCATTCGTTGATTGCCACACTGTCTCTCTCGTTCCCTCGATCCTTGTGGCAGGCTACCAATTAGGTGACCCTGTATGACACTCACCCACCTGCCAGCACCTCCCACGCACTGGCCACCCAGCCCTTTGAAAAGGGGCCATAATGTCAGTGAAAATGCAAACTTTTTCATTTCCCTTCTCTGGACGGTATTCTGCTTTTGTAGTTTGGTTAAACAATAGATGTAGGGAAAATAGTAAAAAATAATAAATTAAATAGGTAAAACATTCAGAAAAACTGTTTTTGGATTATGTTTAGAACACATGATCTTCAAACAAGCACATGCATATAAGGAAAAGTACTCAATACCAAAACAATTCTTAGTAAATGGAAGATAAACTAATTTCTTGCATTATTGACTGCACAAATGCCAACTATGTTTCTATATTTAACCAAATGTTCACTGTTTAATTGTGTTCAAGCATTTTGATTAATATTTAATATAATAAACTAAAATTGGATTAACCAACACAATATTGGTTCAATTATTGTGGCATAGTGTATTGAAATAGCACATTTTTTGCGTATTAACACTGCACATTGGGCGGAAACTACTCTTTTTTGGGCAAAATCCTCATTACATTTTAAGATAAACTTCCTTCCTAATTGTCCCCTCTGGTGGAAAATATTTAATGTACATATTATTATATTTTTAATGGAATATACAAGTCAAGGTATATAAAAGTTAGTTGTGTACGTGTATAATTAATTATTAGTGCTTTTTATGTCAAATTATTGGGGTATCAAACCTAAATATTTTCGTGTTTCATGGATTGTTAATGTTAAGAAGTGCTTGTGTGGTAATATGCATTACTATACATGCACTTTTGTAGAATTTAAATCATAATCGGATTTTATCGATTTTTACATTATTTCAATAGAAGTAGAAAATATATTGTAAGCTAAATTTATTATTATATAAATTTAAAATATTACTCTATAGTAATATATGTCTGCCACAAAATCGGCAATTCATCCCACTGTGCGCTGAATCTGCATCCTTCAGTTTCTATCTCCGGCTGGCCAGAGTTGAACGCACATTTGCGGTGGCCAGTCGGCTTGCCACTCACTTACTCCCACACACAGGCAGTAATGATGATATTGATGCACTTGAACTCCGCTGAGACACTGGCAGAAAAATTGGCTATTACTTAATTCCAAAATACACAATATTAATATGTAATAGCTTCATCTCGATGTATATATTCTGATAAAAGAATATAAGAAATGCAGAACTTGCAAGTTAAAGGTGATGGTTTGTAAACAGAATCTGGAGTAATAAGTGGCTGAACCTATTAGAGTAAACATACTTTTCTCAGTGTCACTGTGCGGCCAGTAGGTGCAGCGCTTTGCATGTTGCAGATGGAGTTGCAGCAGCAGCAGCTGCAGTTGTTGCTGCGATTGTAGTTGCAGCTGTGCGCCTAATGAGGAGGGGCGACCATGCGGCACGTAGCATCCATCGGTGGCAACATCGGGCAAATAATCAGCATATGTCCGCCGGAAGTGCACCTGCCCATTACCTCCGCGACTTCCCAGTGCCGAAAAATGAACAAAAAGTCGCACGACTATGTTGATGGTTGCAGAATTTAAGCAAATAATAGTAGGAATTGCACTGATGTGCCAACTGATATGAATACATAGAATAGAACTGATAAAAGTTAGGAATTGCCCTTTTCAATACTTCAACATACATATACAGGCAGTGATAGCCAGCCCAGTTCGAAAACCACAGCCCCAAAATTCCAGGTGACAGCTCCCTTGGGCCAAAGTTCACATGTCCGCTGCAAGTGAGTGAAGCGGATCATGCACAAACAAACAAAAAAAAAAATTGAAAACCAAGATGGCACACACAGACTGTGTGCGTGTATGTGGGAGTGTGTGTAAATACGTCAACAATTTTGTGCAAAGAAGGATTTCAATTTCCTTTAAGCGGAAGCGCGCTGTCAGTTTCGCATTTTGCGCCACAAATCATCAACTCTATCAGGTCCTCTGTCCCTGGCCATGGACTTTCCACCAGATACCATATAGATTGCAACAACACTGCACTTTCGGACGTTGCCGCCGGGCTGGGCTGGTAGCTGGGGGGAGGGGGGAGGGGGCGTGGCTGGAGCAACAGCTACACATCATCCATCCATCCATCTAACAATAAGCGTCCAGCAACAGCTACTACTTCAGGCCAAGAAGCGGAGGAACGGAGCGAAGCCATCCATCTAGTCAGCCATCAGTCAGTTCGGGGCAGTTTTTGCATCGCAAGTTGGGGTTACACTGCCCGACAAAATGGGGACTTTTAGGATAGCATCTGGATTCTTCGGGGAACTCCCATTATGTTCTATAATACTAATTATTGCTTATTTTTTGGCAAGCCCTATCAGTGGGTCAAAGCCAAAGTCACGCTTGTAACTTCTAAATTAACTTGTAATTAAACATCAATGACAGACACAATTTATTACTTTTATTCTAAAAGTATTTTTTTTTTGGTTAAATGCCGCTAAATTCAAATGACTAGGGATTCATCCAAAATATTTGGAATGCAAGCACACAAGTGTCCAGTACCTGAATACTTCTCAGTGTAGTTCTGCTTGCACTGGCCTTTGTATAAGGGGGCGGGGCAGGGCGGTAGGCGGACCAGGGTCGGGTGAATTTATAGCAAAATGTCAACAGTTGCCGCGTAAATATGTAAAATTGTTTGTAAATAGCAATTTCGTTTTTGAGCCCGCCACGTCGTCGATGCCGAAAAGCAAACGATGTGCGTCAATCGATGTGGAGGAGAGCAAACTTAATTTACCTTCAATTATGCGAGAGGTGTTAGAAGGCGCTATGATGAATTTATAGGGCTTGTTGATTTCTGGCCGAAGTCAAGCGGACTTTAATGGCTTCAATTCGATGCATTCAATGCATTTTAGGGTAAAGTCGTGTTGGTACAACGGGTCGTATGCGTATTCTTAGGCGCGTTACTCATACGCCGCGTTGCCATAACTTCGTGCATATCATCGATTTCTTTTGAAATAAAACGCCGTGTGCCTAGGCAATAAACGGAATTTATTTAATTTGGCGTCAGGGATGTATGGCATTCAGGGCGAGTGGAATGGACATGACCGGCTGGACCAATCGCTCACTCCCCATTTTCAATTCGCGTCCCAAGATGTCCTCCTGCCCACTACTGACGTCCATCGGCTGCCAGTGATGGTAGCTTTCGATCCTCGAGGTCAAGGGAAAAGTGCTGCACACGGTGGTCAAGCTGGAGTTTCTGGCCAAGTCTTCGATGTGCTCCTCCAGCTCGACGTCCTTGCTGCCCGTGGTTACCTCGCCGCGATCCTTATGCACATCCTGCGGCTGCAACTGCTGCTTGACATCCATTGTGGGCGAACGATTTTAGTCTTACTTAAATTTTTATCAACAAATCATGCCCAATCGGAGTTCGAAAATAAACTGGATTTTCCCTGCCGTTTATTGACAAGTTATGCTAATGGAAATGATAAGTTCTATGCTAGCTCGTAACGAATCCCACTTAAAACTACAATTCAACAATTCTGTGATTCTATCCTCTGACCATCTCCACATGCCTTTCTATATGCTTACCTATTTTGGTAATCGGTTGCCGAATGACGAGTAATTAAACTTTTAGAGCCATAATTGGATCGTTTTAATACCTTTTGTAATGAGAAGTTCAGCTCTTAGCATTTTAAAGACTCTCACATTCTTTGCAATGGATGGGAATCTGAAGAAGAAAGGCCAACTGGATAAAGGGTGGCTGCATCACCAAATCGCATTTGCATGCGGTTGACCATGAAGGAACCGCCTGCAGCTTTCCCTCGACTTGACCAATTTCCGCCTCCTTAGCACCCGCCCCTGTCAACTGCCAAATGCCACGCCCACTGACCAAGCCGCCCCGCCCCCGGGTCAGCAACCTTGATGGCTGGCAGTGCGTTAATTGATTGTTCGGCTGGCCCATCATTATCGGCAGAGGGAAAGCCCAACCGACTTTGGGTCTGGCACATATGCCAGGACGCAGGACGAAGGACGAAGGAACACAGGCGGTTAAGGCTGCCCAGTGGTCCTGCTGATGACGCTGATGGACAGCAGTCGGTGGGTTAAGGAAGTGACAGGGGAAAAGGCCAAAACAAGCAGTGTTGACAAGAAAATTGCTTCGATTTGGGAAGAGCAACTGTGGGCATTTGGCCTAAGCCAAAAGTAGCCAAATATTTTAGAGAAATATTTAGAAATTATAAGCAGTAAATTTATTTAGATACCTTCTCTTTTATTTACTGAAGTGCGATCCTTTCTTTAAGTTAAATGTAAATAAGACAATGCTAGCAAAAAAATAATATTAATTTTTAGTTCAAGGCTTTGCTTATGTTTTATATATTGGCCAATAAAAATGCATGTTATTTTGATAATTAGCTTGTCTGAAATTTGATTTGTGTAAATAGTGCTTTAGACTCAATGGCAAATAGAATCTAAAATGGAAAAGATAGAATTCATCTTCTTTGGGCACTCGAAACGCACTTGTACATGCCCGCAAATGATTCGATTTTATCGATACTTCGATATCGTTTCGCTTTCCCTGGTGCGAAAGAGAGCGCTGGCGGGAGTGACAGGGAGAGATAGATGTGGCAAAAATCGGCATTGATTGTCCGTCCGGTTCATTGCAATCGCTGCAATTTAAGCGGGCAAACTTTTTGGCTCACTCCGCTCCACTTCCTGCGCTCCTTTTCGACCTTTTTGTTTTTGGCCTACATAGAACACGGATATGAAACGCCGACTCTATCTGTCGCCCCATCTCTCTTGCGCTCTCCACTTGGAAAAAAAGCGTGCAATTGTAAGATATTTTTCTGTAACTGTAACCTTTCATTCAGGATAAACATAGTTATAGGATATAATAGTTCGATTATATCAAAAATATCTTAACATTAATATCTTATATTATATTTTATACACCGCACATTTAACCATTTTCCTGTTTTTTGCCAGATTATTAATTTCACATTAGTCTTGAAAGGCATACATTGCCCACATTTGTCTTAAAACACACTTATTTTCAGTGTTTCTATGCCCGTCTCGCTTTAACAAAAGTAGCCATCTCTGTCTCACCGCAGTGGAACTTTTTTAATACGCAACACGAGTGACCCGCTTGCGGACAATTGGAATTGTAACTTTTGATTAAATTCGTTGCAATGGCAACCGGGTGAAAAATCGAAGGGAACGGTTGTGAAGCGGGAACGGGTAAAAAAGGGTGGTATAGGGGTGGACCGGGTAAAAATAGGGGTGCACCGGAAGAAGAACCGGGAACGCTTGTGTTCAAGGCAAGCCAAAGGATAAACTTTTTGCGCTGGTTTTTCAATTGCATTTGATTACCTTGTTGCGTGGGCGGACACTCCGCTTGTTGTTCTCTCGCTCTATCTCATTCTCTCTCTGTTCTTCCCTCTGTTCACCTTCATCTCTTTCGTTCGCCTTCGGCCCCTCTCTTTCTTTTCAATAAACTCGGCTCTGTAACGCCCACTTTCGGGAGTTGTTTGGCCGCCACTTGCGAAATCAATTCAAAAAGTATGCGAGGCCATGGTAAATATCCGCACATCTCTTATTATTTCCATTTTTATTATTATGATATTTATACGTACATCTATCTATCGCTTAATGTTTGCCCGGCACACTTGCAGAAATCATAAAAATTCTATAAAAACAATTTGGTCCGATATGCGATGGTATGTGTATATAGTTTGTGCTCTATTCCGCTCTGATCCATGCAAACACACAAATGGACACGGACACAGGAGCAAATATTTGCATTGAAAATGTATAAAACACATACAGTCTAGGTCAACAAAATAGTGTTATTATTGTGCATTAAAACATAAAGACTTTTGTAACTTATCGAGTCATGTTTTGTGATTATTATAACCCTTTATTGTTTTTTGATTTTATTCTTTTAATCCTAGCCTTAAAACTTGGTCAATGTTCTGAACCCCATAGTAGGCCCCCTCCTAGATGGGATGAACATTTTGTTGTTCCATTGGCCTCAAGCTAAGTAAATATGTTTTTCAAAATTACAACAAAAGAAACGAAATACAATTGTTGATGCACAATAACAAGCAGGGAAACAACAAACAAGGAAAAGGCAAGGGTCAAATAAATACATTTTGCATTTAAGTGCACATTGAAATTATTTAAACCTCACTATAGCGACGACAGAACATGGAAACTAGTACTTAATGTTAAATTTAAAATTGTTGCGCATCTGTTGTCAGTATATTTGCTGTTATCAGTTACATCGCTCAGGAAAACACTTTGTTCAAATCCCGAAAAAGTCCACATTTTTGGGCATTTGATTTTTGATCAATTAACATTGGAATTTATGGGAAATCATTTTTACAAACATAGCCAGTGGCAAGAGGAAAAAAGGTGAGTGCCAAAGGCCCCAAGGAGAGTTTGATGGACAACGAGGAGCAGGTAAAAAAAGAAATCTCTTAAATTTTGTGCTGGATCGAAAATGGAAAATCGAAAATCTTGTAGAACTTTACCTCTGTCCAAAATGTGCGAAGAAAATATTTACTCTGGAGGCGTTTCAACTCGTTTTTACTGCCCCGACTTCCTTCGCCTCCATCGATTGTTTCACTTTGTGCTCACTTTTTGCAATTAGGCGAAAAATTCAAATTCAAATCAATAGACAAGGAAAACTTTTGCTGCAGCACGTCGTCACAGCAGAGGGGCATATGGCATACATACATATATGGCTGCAGGACCAAGAAGGACCCAGATCAGACCAGACCAGGCCAATTGGCCAATGCCAGCGGATCCGTACGTGTTCGGCCAAAATAATGCCGGTACACGTCGAAAAAAAAGGAATGGTTTGAATAAATTATGAATCATTGCTGTGCTTTCACAATAAAGTAAAGGTTTCACAAGCACTACAAAGCAGCACATAATTAGCGAGAATTACTAGCATTACTAGTGGGATAAAACACATAGTTGCTTATAAACATTTAGCGATGGTCGTAAGTCATTAAGAATGAAAAACACTCACTGAAAGCTAAACATGTTAGTGTTATTGAGTATCTGTTTCAAACTCGTTCTTTTTAATCAATGCGTTATCAATGTACTCACTGTTGCTGTCAATACCTTTATGTGAGTACTAATAGTCGTATATTTAAAGTGTAGTGTTCCGTTTAAGGACCCGAGTCCTCGGCCGGCGAATATTTGGGTATGGGCATCCTCCCCAAGGAGCCGCTGCAACAAGCGAAGATGCTGAAAGGACATGCAGGATCTGGAGCTGATTCCGAGGACTGGGGCTGACGTTGGGGCTAATGTGATTTCGTACGTTCAATTTGTGAATTGCCTGGAACACACGTACATTGGCGGAGGGCTCGGGGGACGGGGGTTTTTGGGGCTTCAGGGATCGGGGATCGGGGGTCGGGGGTCCTGGGACAACGGCATATGCATAACTACGTGGCATGTGCATTTTGCTGGCTTTTCTTTTCTTTTCTTTTTTCCATCTTTGTTCCTTTTTTTTGGCGGCAGCTCGCTCATTGTCGTGCAACAATTTAACATACAACGTGGGGCAAATTATTTGGCTATCCGACTTGGGCAATACCCAGTATATTACTTAAAAAAGCGAGGTGACTACAGAAAATGCCTGAAGCTGAAACTTTCAGTTCATTGCATGCATTCTGACTCCAAAATAAATGTTATTTATAAACACACATTATACATATAGCTAACTCAACAACTTAAGTTACTAGTGTGCACTTGGGCAAAGTTATCCTTAAAAAAAAGTATGCATACAAACATTGTATCAAAAGAGGCACTCGTTCGCGTTGTCATACGGCTCAGGGCTTTTACAGGGTATCAGGAGGAGCGAACTGTGCGGGAACAATGCTGTCAGCAACATGATTACCTACAGCGAACGAAGGAGAGGCAAGATCCGGGCGCGAAAGAGAGGCTAGATGGATGACTCGGCCTGCAATCTGCAGTTGAATGCAATTCGTGGCGAGGAGTTCAGTTGGAGCTCCCAGTTCCCAGTTCCCAGATCCCAGTCGCCAGTTCCGACTCAGAAATCGCAGTCCGATGCCAGCTGGAGTTGGGCTGCATTAAATGTAAGGCACTGTGCCAGGCACACACATTGCTGAAAGAGACGGCAATGTACATAGGTGGAGAAAGAGACAGAAAGAGGGGCGGTCTGCGGCAGAGAGACATTTTGCATTAAAATTAAGGCAAATTTATAATGAGCCAAAATTGTCGTTGCGATGCAATCGCCGCAATATATAATAAATGGCGCATACACGATCATACATATATCTGTGTATATATCAGCATATATGAGTGTATGCATATGAAATATATGTGTGCCTGGACGTGACTCCTGACTCATGACTCCTGTCTCCGTATCCTGGTTTCCTTGTCCTGCACCCGAGCCCATTATTGGGGTAATTTATAATTTGCTCATTTAAATGATTACAA